TATGATTCGTCTAATACTCTCAAGTTTTAATCAGACTTAACTACCCTTTCTGTGATTCAATCCCAGTTAAGTATGATACTTGTAAACATATGCAAGTATGTCCGCCGGAATAACTATAAGTTCTGATTGGCATGCGAATAAAAAATAACTACCACACAGTTGAGCTTTATTTAAACTGTGCAGATGCTGCACTCGTTTGAATGCTATGATAGGTATGTAGTTAGTGCAGTTTTGCTTTGACTTACACCTTTTCTACATGAGCTCACGTTGCAAGATCACTTACGCTTTGAGGCTAGCCATGAGCTTCAACAAACTCCATTTCTTTTTGTACCATTAAAAATAGAGTAATTTTGGGTTCTACCATTTCGTACAATACCGCAAATAATACAGAACCATAGCAAAGCATCACATCGTAAGGTAACGGCGGTAATAACTCCCAGTCCTAGGTTGTAAAGCGTAACCACAGCATGTTTAGAAGAATCCGAAAATTCAATATGGCACCTACGCCTGGATATGCTTGTCTCTGTTTGCCTAAGTAAAGGAATACAAATAGAACCTAAAGCGCCCTGCATTTTGATGCACGCAGAAAACTAAACTGGACAAGCCATCAAGCAGTAGCGGCTTTCGTTATTAAATTTTAGCTGCCTCTACTGGATGTGTTATGCTTATATTATTACTACATTGCGAGCGTCTAAACTTTCGCAAACATCACTGCAAACATTTAATGCCTTATGTTTTACTTAGACTTCACCCGCTCTACAGACTTTATGCTTTAAGTGTAAAGTCCTTGATGCACTGCTTTGTTAACTTCAGACGCAATAAACTTTTAAATTTTACAGAACTATGGAAGCACTTTAATTGGTTGAGCACTATATGAGAGTTCCCTTAAAGTTGAGGCAACGTTATTTGTTTTGGTAATAAAGAAAAGAAGCTATTATTAAATTCTAATACATTATAGAACACCTGAGACAATACCTTTCTCTACAGCACGTGGCCTTTTATTTATTTGCTAGGGAGATTATCATTGCAGGTTATATAATTCTAACTATCATATTTTATGGAGTTGACTACAGCAGTCAAGATAAAAAATAAAGGTAAGTTAGTTCATCCACTGCATTTAGTCCTCCTGAAAAAATGCTAACCACACGTTTTACTTTTCTCTACTGTAGTATGCATCAGTTTACATTTGCAGTTGACTTCGTCTAATCGTATCTTAGAGCGTCGCCAAACGCTTCTTGAAACATTTAAAGCCATCAGCGTTACTAAATTACTATTAACGTTACCTACATACTTATACAAATCATCCTGTTGTTACTGATATTAGTCTCTATCAGTTTTCACATAGCTTCAACTATAATTTTTGCCAACCATCTGTGGAATAATAACTATTAAGTTAAGCGAAACACACTTAAAATTAGGCTCTTTAAAGCGACGAAATGAATTAAGTAACTAGATGGACACGCATTTTTAAAATAACCATTTGACACTTCAAACAGTGAACACTTAGATTATGTTAGGAAAATTTAGTTGTTTTACCAAATTGGGTTTAAATTACGTAACGTTGTGAAGTATGGGGAAGTAAATTATCAATGAAACTATCCAAGCAGAGTAAGGTTGTTGTGCTGCTTTGTTTTATATTATACTTTGTTAACGAGATGTTTATCGAAAGCGGAATAAATGGCAATAGGAGGGATCAAGCTACACAAGATACAGACTATTTTAAAATTGGTTTGGTTTTTATCTCAGCTGCTGCATTTAACTAAACTTACGTATCGTCATTTGGAACACTGTCAGGAAGATAAAAACATCTCCTGGGGGTCAAATTGAAATTCGGAGCTTTACTTTATCCTAACCAAGTCATTAATATTTTCCTTTTACTCACTTCTCAGCCAGGTACCGGCTGTTCAAACTCTGTATGTAAATAGAGTTGCTGGACTGGTAAGTAAAACACGCGACATGGTCATCAGTTCTTGGAACACCAATTACAGTTAGCAAGCATTTAGCTTCTTTTTGTGCACAAACAAAGCTTTAAACTTACTCAGGGCTAAAAGGGTTGTCCTACCACTTGCGGACTGGGCTGCAATGGCAGGAGTCATGCAAGCAGTAGGTCTGTTTGTGTCTAGAAGTTGGATGGACTAGGTTCAATAACTGTGTATTAGGGTTGAACGGACGGCAGCATTGCAGACACTACTCGTTCATGGGAGGTATCGTTGAACTGGCATTGCAAGGAAAATAGAGCAACGAAAGTGCTTTGGGCTCTTGGTATAAGGCTCCTAGTCTGCTCTACCATTAGGTATGTGCTGAAGCAGCTGGCCATGTATTTGAATTTATAAACAACTTTCAGCAAATCCCTACCAAGGACCAGTGCAAGGAACGAGCGTTGTTAAGCTTAAAGAAAACTTGCATTTAAACTGTGCGCAAAACAACCCAAGTCGATTCTTAAAGAGCGCTAATTTTGTTGGTTGCACCTGCCTATTTGTATGTTGTCACTGCTAGAGGCAGTTTTCTTGGTATAATCCATTTTAAGAATTTGCTTAGCTGAAAACGGCTTCAAGTATTCCGAATCGCGTCAGCTGAATGCACTTATTTATATTCTGTTAATATTAAAGTTAAAAAAAGGTCGACGACAAGCAACTTTGTCTTACGTCACCCAAAACAGTACAAAGCAGCAGCAACTTACCACGTAAAAAACACTACATAAACTATGCGGGCACACCTTAATCAAACGGCCCCAAAGTGCATGTCAATTTGTTGGATCGAGTGCACTCTCTAGGCCAACATACATGCTGTTGGTGAGCTGTTATTACGAATGCTGTTGTTCTAAGGATTCATGTAAAGAAAGGACGTGGACAATGCCACCTAGATTTCGACGAAACTCGGCTTGCTCCTCGTAAAGCTGGCTTCCACAAACGCCAGGCAACCAGTGAAGAAAGACATAGGTAAGTTAGAAGTGATTTACTTCAGACTTACATCATCCTAGTGCAGTATAAGTTTAAGACAATCACCACGGATAAATTTTTAGCTTTAAAGTAAAACATAACACAAATGCATTTTTAGCGTTGCAAATAAAATGTGGGTTTATAAGATAATCTTTAAGGAATCATTATTACGCACTACTGAATGTGTTTTGTTATACGCAGATTTTTCGTGGCCTATGGGCGACTGAAATGTTTCTCAATGAGACATACCTAAATATACAAGTTCATTACTATATGGTGGCCTAGCAATTTCTAGCCACTGCTGGTATGGCAATCGGCTAAGAACTCATTTGCAGTCCGACCGCAGTCCGCTGAGGGTACGCAAAATTTCCAAAACAACCATGTTTCAGACTGCCACAAGCTTGCTGGAAAGCTTTCAAGCCGCACTTCCGTAGGCCTTTTATTCCATTACTCATTATCATGGCTTCAGCTGTCTGGCCTAAAACGTATCTGATTTTTTCAAAACGCAGCTGGTATGAAACAAGTACCGCAACAAACTGTTTACCACATTATCGCACCCATAAGCTACTGATAGCAGTTGTTACGATATACTAAGTAAGCATACATATATGTTGAAGTAAATGTACCGCAACTCGAGACATCCTTTTGACCGTTTGATTGTCGTTGTTAAAAGACTACCGGCCATTAGATGACTACATGCTTCTTAATACGGAGTAATTTGAGGCAGTTGATCTATTCATTTACCTTGACATCTGCATCAGCGACAATGAGCGTATAAGCCCTAAAGTCAGTTCAGGCATTGCGAATCTAGAGCTGCCTGCCCGGCGTTGTAACGTCAGTTAACGTCAGAAAAGAACTTCCCCTGATCTGTAAGGCCGCGTTTACAATGACCCAGTGATGACAGCCTTGCTCCATGGGTGTGAGACTTGGTCCATTTGCTATGAGGACCAGCGACGCTTTTGATACTTTAATTATCGTGGTCTGCGGAGTATTGCTGGTATCAGATAACACTGGTATCTCCGCAACAATGATGTTCGTATGCAAATACTGGATAGTGATACGCTTACAGGTTCCTTAGAAGAACAGACAGCACTGAATAAGCTGCTTTGGCTTCAACATGTACTACGTATGCGCTGTCAACGCTTTCTGAGGAGGGCTTTGCTTTGGTTGCAAGAAGTATGGTGGCACAAAGCCCGACGTGGGCAAGCGTGAGCGTGACAGCAAGGAGTGAAGCCAGTAACGACCAACCAAGTTGCGATTGGTCTATCAGAATTTCATGCCTAGTGCACATGTGACCCGACTCGTGCTTGGCTCTGGATGCTACAGGACATGGATACTAGTCAGACTGCCTGTTCAAAGTGTGTTTGGTGCTGAGTTAGCTGTAGGATAAATGCTGTTATGACGCGGGATAGTAAAAGCTTCAAAGTAGCTATCACGCTGATGCCGTCTTAGCTTTGTACCATAACTAGCTGTTTGTGGCGGAATGTATTAAACATGGTATAGGCGCCTTGGCCCTGAATGTTTGCTTAAGGCCTTACGCTTTTATGCAAGCTGCCCTTTCTCTTCTACATACTATTTTTCGTTACCTCTGTCAGCTGGGTTGTACGGCAGCGAAGTATCAATGAGAAAGGTTGTAATACTGCGGTGGGTGATGATGATAATGACAATGCTTAAGATCGTTCAATCGTGTTGGTAGTGGTGAAGGATGGAGGTACTTTTCGTTGAAAATGAACTTACTGTTTAAGATCGTTAACATAGTACAATTCATTATCATATGTAAGCATAATACACGAATTCTCATTGTCTTCCGCATATTTCTACCGATGACCAAAATCTATTAAACCCCTAAATGTCCAACCACAGAATTACGGCTGAAGCCTAAATGTGCCGAAAGTGCTGTTTTAAGATACGAAAGAAATAAAGGTTTGTTTATAAAATAAGGGAAGCTAACAATGCGTCACACAGCGAGTAGCAAAGAATAGTATGCGTTTGCCAATAATTATAATGCAACTATATATGAAACTATAGATATGAAACTGTATATTTTTGTTCATGACTCACCATATTCCCTAAGAACATATACGGCGGTAATAATGCCTATAATTGAAACCATACTGCAAGATTCTTGCGGCTGAAGCACTTGGATTTGTTGAATTTGTATCATATCATTGTAAATTGTTACGAACATTGAAAACAAGTAATATAAGATAAAATCAGCGCGTTAAGCTGTGACCTTCACAGATGCCACAGTATAATAATTTTGCCACATTGAGTATACACCATGTTGCTTAAGAAAAGACGAATGAATGCATGCGTGTGTTATTTAGAAACACTTATTGTACGACCTCACTATGCACTCAGTTCTAACCATGGTACGACGGGAAAAATAAATGAATCTTGTGTTCTGTCTTAAACGGAGCGCTAAGCCAATAATAGATACAGTGAAATGAGTTTTTGCTAAATTAAAAGGACGGTTGAAATATACCCCGTTCACTTAAATGCTACGCACGCCTTATCCAATAGCAGCATACTGTGGCGCTCAAGTTACATAAGATACAGGAAAGTGATGAAAGGTAATGTTCAAGAAAAGTCACTTATAAAGCTTAAGTTCATGTGTAAGTAAAAGTATATCAAATAAGACTAAAGTACGAGGATAGGGAATGCCCAAGTGGTGAAAATATTCCTCCTGCCAACCAAGTGCGTCCAACTGACGCGTTGCACACATAATCGTAGGTTACGTGATCACCATACTGAGTGCAAATTTTAGCGCTAGATAGATTGACAGGTCACAAAGGTTCCGATCTAAGACACTCCGAGCTCCACTAGTGCGACGTTAAGGGAAGTCCGGAGAGACAAGAAAACCTGATCGGACGAAAAACCTGGAAAAATAGGGCCCAAACTTTTCAGTTAACTTACGGTAACGGATGACCAAAGCCTTCGATCATGGATTAAAGGCATTCCTAGAACAGCAACGAAACGACGGCAACAAATATGCTTAGGTCGTAAAACACAACAATCCTATCATCCATATCCCGAGCTACAGGTATTCTCAATAATTTCCAAAATATGGGTTACCCGCAAAGTGCATCGTTATCCTACGAGCTTTGCATATCAATGCTTTTTACTGGGCGAGGGCTTTCGGTATGCGGTATGGATGTCCCAGTTCTCCGTTGCTCTTCAGCATTGCTATTTTACGAAGTTCTACTAACGGCTCTGGAAAGCTTTCAGGGAGTTTAGATAGAGAATATTCAAGGCTACCGCGCGGATAAATTTAACGATTCTGATGATATAAGGTTTCTCGGTGACCACCCCATATATTATGGGTCACACTAAACCGTTCAGTGGCTAAAGTTCACAGGTATGGAATGAGCTTCGCACCATCTAATTGTAAAGCCCTATTCAATGCTTGGCATCCATCTGTAAAAGTGCGCCGTGGCGGTTGTGACTCGCCACTAACTGAAGGACTGTCTTTTGCGTATTCCGAGGCCCATACGTATGCCATAGTCGTCAAACATACAAAATTTTTTGACGCTGTTCACGTTTAAGTCCCAACTCAACGAAAGCATGTAACTAACGTCACTCATGCTAACTCAAGCAACATACCTGCATCTACTCAATCCAAAACACAACAAATATGCATACCACATAGATACGATATGTTACTGGCAAGCTTGCAAAATTTAGTTACATTTACCCGTCCATGGGGTTAACTAAACAAATAATGGATTTAACCTCGGCGACGCGAGACACGCCTTCAAAAGCCCGAGCAGGAAAATACAAACGCGTAACAGCAGTATATGTGCAGAGATGTTATTATTTAACCAGTACATTCTGCCTATAGTGGGTTAATGTATGAGCTGTATAGATGTGGGTGGCGGGAGAGCCTATGGTGCGCTGAGGCTGGTGGTGGCTAGATCCTGACAGATGGTCTACCCACTGCTGCTACTGTTGTGCCATTTGCTCATGTCCTGGGCGCCTCCTCGTGGCGACCGCTGGGTGGGATTTCGGGTTCGCCCTTCGCCCTGCTAAAATCCAGGACACCAATCCGCATGAGTCAGTGAACTGACCATGTGCTAGACCCGCTGCCTTTCGGGTGTATATTTAATCGAAGGCTGTGGCTGAGGACACGAGTCGTTCTCCTGTCAGGTGTGGGCGCCCTGGCAGTATCCTAGTCCACCCTCCTCGGAGGTTAGGAAGTGGTCGATGGCCCACTTCCCGTAAAACCTAGCCATGGGAGACAACAGGTCTACGGGTTATAAGCTCACAGCTCGATTGGCGTAGAGCACGAGTGCCACGCATTGTGTCTGACGGTGGGAGGAACCCTCCGGGTGTTCAATGGTTTGCTACTGCCCGCCTCAAGCCAGGCAGCCCCTGGTCAAATTGGTGCAAACCCGCCAAAAACCACCTGCGTCTGGCCGTGATCGCACGTTCGTATCCTACTACGGTCGCAAAACATATATGAATCGTTCCAGTACCTCAAAGGCTGCGTGTGACGGCCGTCAAGCAGATCCCCATCTGTCTCTGCGATCACAATCCCGAGCTGGATCTGCTCCCCACTGACTTGTGGGTAAGGCTATTGAGCCAAAGGCTCCGGGCGGAATCCCTCAAGCAAACCTCCGAAACACAACGACCATCGCGCGTGCGATTGCTCACCAAGGCAATCGTATGCATCCGCGCAAAGCACTCAGCATCGGGTGCTGGAACGTGCGCACACTACTGGACCGGAGCTCCAGCGAGCGCCCGGAGCGACGCACTGCACTCGTCGCGATGGAACTGGCGCGCTACAACATCGATATTGCGACGCTCAGTGAAACCCGGCTAGCTGAGCAAAGTAAGTTGCATGAAGCAGGTGCTAGCTACACATTCTACTGGGTGGGCAACGCCGCATAAACACCACGTGAACATACGGTCGGATTTGCAATATCCGATCGCCTCCATGGCCAACGGGCTTCAGTGCGCGACTGATGACCGTTCGCGTACGACTCGGAAGAGGTAAGTTTGTTACTTTTATAAGCACGTACTCCCTGACCATGTGTTATCCTGATGACACGCGTGACCAGTTCTACACTGAGCTATCCTCCGTGGTACGTTTTGTGCCGTGGAGCGACCGACTATTTCTGCTGAGTGATTTCAACGCGCGTTGGGCGTGATGCAAGAGCGTGGACAGATGTAAGCGGTGCGCATGGCATTGGCTCAGCGAATGCGAACGGTGACAGGCTGCTCTCACTGTGTGCCACTCACGGCCTGACAATCACGAACGTTCGGTTTGCACTGAGTGCGAGTGCTATAGCAACTTGGACGCACCCACAGAGTGGTCACGCTCACCTGCTCGACTATGTCATCGTACGTCAGCGTGATATGCGTGAAGTGCGCATGACACGTGTACTGCGTGGAACTGAGGGTGGCACTGATCACAAGTTGGTGCGGACCAAACTGTACATATATTTTCGAAAATCAATGTATTGCACTCCCGCCGTGAATCGGTGTAAAATAAACATTCTCTCCCTCGGTACTGTGGCGAAACGTACTGAGCTGGAGAAGGCGATGGCTGCACGCCTGTGTGTGATGTGGAATGCATAGCCACAGTGGGCGACCTGTGGCAACACATTCGCGCCCGGGTGACAGGAGCTGCAGGGGAGACCATCGGGTGCGCAAACTGTAAGCGTCCTGATTGCTTTGATGAGAACAATGCGACGATCGGCGCATTGGTGTGTGAGAAGAATGCAGCATTTGCTGCACATGTAGCAGATCCCAGTGACTTGGGGAAGAAGAGTCAGTTTCGCAAACTTCGACGGCGACTGACCCGAGAGCTCCGTCGCATAAAATGTGCATGGTAGACGGAGAAGGCGAAGCAGATGGAATGCTACGCCGAACGCCGTCAACACAAGGAATTCTTTGACTCCTTGAAGGCGGTGTATGGACCGAGATTGGAGCGTCTGAGGACACTGATCGATGGTAGTTCAGACGCTACCTGCACACAGACAGCAGACATAATGCAGATCTGGCGAAAATACTTTGACTGTCTCTTGAGAGATCGACTGGCCTACATTGAACGGCCTCACGCAGCACGATGTTAAGGCGAATCTGGCGGATACGCCGGCACTGGATGAGACGCAGAGAGCACTTGCTCAGCTGCGAAACGGCAAATGTGCCGGAGCCGACGGGATCCCGCCTGAAGTATTGAAACACGGTGGACCCGCGTTGTTGACTGCGCTGCACCACTTGGTGCAACGTGTATGAATTGAGGAGGAGGTGCATCCTGAGCTGAAGGATGTCCTTGTGCTGCCATTATAAAAGTGCAAAGGTAGCAAGCAATGTTGCACGAATTGTCGTGGCATCAACTTGCTGAGTTGTGTGTGCAAGGTGATTGCTCGAATCCTGCTCAACCGCCTCGTCAGTCAGGTTGTGGAACCGAACGTGGCGGAAGAGCAGTGTGGATTCCGTTCTGGTCGCAGCACTATAGATATGGTGTTTGCGGCTTGTCAGTTGCAGGAGAAGTGTAGAGAACGACACCAGCCATTGTACTCGCTTTTTGTTGATTTCACCAAGGCATTTATTGCGGTGAACCGCGAGGCATTGTGGCTGGTGTTGGGTAAGTTTGGTTGCCCGCGTAATTTTGTAAGTTTAATTGAATATCTGCGCAGTGGTATGCGAGCGAGGGTGCAGCTGAGTGGAGAGACCTCGGATGCATATGCAGTTTTCACTGGTGTGAAGCAAGGCTGTGTCTTAGCTCCTGCCCTGTTCAATATATATCTTCAAGCAATGTTGTTTTGTGCTTCTGATGCCGCTTGTGCTTACGGTGTTCGTGTGGAGCACCGTATTGATAATGGGTTGCTGAACATCCGTTGTTTTGGTGCGAGTACTCTAGTCTGTGAGACAACTATCCGTATGTTGCTGTTTGCTGACGACTGTGCGTTGTTTTCACACAGCGCGGATGAGTTACAGCACATGACTAGTGCTCTGGCTTCGACAGCGGCCAAATTCGGGCTCACCATCAACACAAGCAAAACTGTCTGTCTCTTTCAGCCTTCACCGGAGGTGCAATCTTCAATATTGCCGCCAATCAGCATTGGTGCTGAGGTATTGGAAACCACCTCCCGCTTCAGCTACCTTGGGGAGTGATGTCGACTGATCAGCAGCTACACGTTGAGTTGCGTATTCGCGTGTCGAAGGCAGCAGCGGCATTCGGAAAACTTGAGTACCGAGTGTGGAACAACCATCAGCTTAGCATTGGCACAA